CGTTTTCATCACATGTGGTGTCCGATCTTATTCAGTATTTACGCCCCCCCCCTAGGACTCTTCACCGAATGAATTCTCCTCACACCAAGCTCTGCTGAGCATTCTCAAACTTGCGCATACTTGGGGACCCAGTCTAGATGTGGAACGTTCATTATGGCTCTACTTCAGTCGCAAGCTGGTACGCCCGTTACAAAGTCCTTCCTTGAAATACCTTTTCACAGGTGCAAATTTGAAGATTGCAAAAACATCAGAATTTAATGCATTTATGCATTTTGAGAGTTCTCATCAGCTGCTACCTCTCACTGCATAATGTGAGTAGCGAATGAGAAAATACAAAATTAAATTCGCAAAGAAAGGTCAATAAGGTCATAAGACATGGTCACGAAGGCTAATCGGTAAAGTAAGCGAGTTAAAACAATGTGGAAAGCAAAGCAGAGGAAAAAGCGTTAAGGTGGGTAGGGAACAGTGTAAATCAGGGAGCCAGATATTACCAAGGCATGGAACATATGGTTAACCTAACCGTGCCTTGGTAACATCCGGCTCCCTGATTTACACAGTTCCCTACCCACCTTAACGCCTTTTCCTCTGCTCTTCTTTCCACATTGTTTTAACTCGCTTACTTTACCGATTAGCCTTCGTGACCATGTCTTATGACCTTATTGACCTTTCTTTGCGAATTTAATTTTGTATTTTCTCATTCGCTACTCACATTATGCAGTGAGAGGTAGCAGCTGATGAGAACTCTCAAAATGCATGAATGCATTAAATTCTGATGTTTTTGCAATCTTCAAATGCCTTCTTATTCGTTTCATATATAACAGTTTGCTGTCTGAAAAGGCGAAACCATCTGAGAGTATTTTCAAGTTATCTGAGGGAGTGTTCCGCACGTTTTTTTTACCGATTTCATTCGAGGAGTACATTGGTGCCCTAAAAGGGATGTCAATGTTTAACCTGCTTCCTCCATCTGACTGACTGTGCTTTTTTCTATTTAATCAGGACTCGACAATGGATCCTGATAGGGACTTATTCGATTCTGAGAGGTAAGGTGGTAATGCCCTTCTTCAGCGGACCCCCCGCCCTTTCTATTTATTTTGCGTCTACGTGGTCGAATAGTTAAATGGGCGTACTTATATTACGCCATCGCCATATTCCTAACTTATTTCCATTAATGCCTATTATTAACCGCCAGTCACTAGTAATACCTTATCTTTTTTGTTTTTTTAGCTATGCTGCCAAGATCCGGGCAATCACACAGCCTGAAGTTCATGCGTAAGTCTTGATATTTTTCCTCTAAGTCTGTCAAGTGTGGTAAAACTAAGTATACCTTAACACAAAAAAGCCCTATAGGCATTATGTTTGTGTCCGCCTTCTGTCCCTCGACATAAACTTTTCCGAAATGTTCATCAATAAACCTTGAGAAGTTGCATATGTTCTGCCAGCGGAACGTTGGACAAACATCACTTCTGGTCTTGTAGCCCTCATTAACCAAACCGCGTTTTAGATGACTTGGGACGAGCATGTTCTGTAGTTTGGTCGGTATTACAACAAACTCGTGGTTCAGTGACAGAGCGTTAAACTTAACAGTGCATAACCAAATGTTTCGGGTTTCAATCTAAGTTTATCGAAACATGGAGTTGTGTATAACTGACTGACGAGAGCTAATACGCTGGAAATAGTCATCTCGATCTCCCTTGTTCCTGTTGGTACTCCTCCTGTATACATTTATGTCTATATAAGTATATA